GGATGTGTATTATATTAACTGATGGTTCTGGAGGGGACTCAGGGGAAAATATTCACTCATACACGCATACATGCGTGCTCACCCGTGGTTACCATGGACCCTGGTGCTAGTTCCTATTGGCTGGCTCAGCAAAAATTTGACTGAGTTGCAAGACTATATTTTGAGGGTGGGCGTTGGCAAGAGCAAATACAATTTTCAGGTTCAGGAAAACACCAGCGAAGAGGAGCCAGCGGAGGAGGAGAGAATACACAGTTTTTTCTAATAATAACTTTGAAAGTTGGAGCTGAATTTCACCTAATAACCTGATGATGTTGCTTAACCCTGCTCTTTCTCAATACCCTGTGCTTGGCGTGAACTTGATGCCAGTTTGTGAGGCACACCCAGGGCTGGAGGCTGTGACATAACTTTTTGTTTACCTGTTCTGAATACACCATGGCTGACAAGCATTTAGGGTAGATAGCAAAAATCTCCATCCTGAAAATCACAGAACTATGCAGAACGTTTAGAAAAACCCTAACCTAAGGGTTCACTAACCTAATCTAACTATCCAGAATGTTTAGAAAAACCCTATCCTATGGTGTGGAGACTCACACATGCTTCAAATGATATTCAGTCAGTCAGTGGTAGTTTGGGGTGATGGAAATAATTCAAGAGCTAACCAAGGATCTTTAGATCTGGATGAAGGAGGAAGTAAGCAGTTTGTTTAAAAGTTTCAGAAGTTCCTTAGATTTCAATACAGTTTAAATCCAAAAAGAATGAGCAAGGACTCAGCTATGGGAAATGACTTGTTAAATGAACAGTATGTTGGCCAATTTAAACAGAATGACAGAACAAGACAATCACACAAAAGTATATTGGAATTAGATGCAGTTATTCTCATTGAAGACAGCAAATTTTGAGAGAAAAAAGAACGTAATTTTATTGGGAAACTAGAATTTTATGTATCAACTAGGTAATGAAAGATTTAGGGAAAGATTGTTGAAAACAAAGTTCTATGATCGCCGGTCATGTTAACAAGTCCCATTGATGTTTCAATTTTGTTAGTGGACTTAACAAACGTATTTTAAACCCTTTAAACAATATTAAGATCCTTTAAACTTTTTTATAAGGTGCTATGGTGCCTTTGTAGCAAAGAGAGAATGGCGATGTGGGATGCTGCAAATCCCAGAAGAAATCATTGCTGAATAGGGTTGGGAACTTCCAACTCAACAGATCTGCATTGGCTGTGCCATTTGGGTGGCTCCAGAGAGTGGGGTTTCCTCTGTAGGGAGCACAGAGTGTAGAGATATTTGGTTCCTCAAATTGCATTGAGATGGGTTACTCTTTAGAAAATTAAAGGTCCCATTTAGGGTAATCCTTGTAAAATAACACCATTTGGTGATGAAACACACTTTCCTTTGACCAACTGTCCTCTAAATGCTTTAAAATGACAAGCAGTTTGATGGATGAGAATGCAGGGAAGGAGCCAGTGCTTGATATTTCTAAGCTTTCATGGTTTCTCTTTTTCAAGAAGTAAGAATACGGTCCACCTTCCTGGGAAGTGGATTGCCATTGAGAATTATTAACAGCTCACAGTGCAGCGTGCTCAACCTCACCGCAGTCCCGCTTCTCCAGTGAGGAAGCACAGACCTGACTTGGGACCCGAATGAGGAGCCCAGCAAGGGACAGATTCCAAATGCATGGAGCTAGGCATGGCAGGGAAATTGGAATAAAGTTTTGGGAAACTGTATGAATTTGGATTTCTATATTTATTCATGCATTCAATTCAGTTTATTAAAAAGGAGTTCTGCAAATGAATTTTCTTGATGAAGAAACTGATTAGAGATAACCAATATTTTTTTAATTTTCAAAGCTAATTTTTCTTCACCTCATATAACCAAAAGCTTTATTAACTTTAAGGTGTTGATTTTCCTTGGAATGAAAAGATTGGGAAGCATTAGATAAAGTCAGTCTTCATTTGAACCTGCCAGAGGACTGATTTCTGTTCTGCAATGTGACCCAAGATGCTTCAGATCCAGCTGGCCATGAGGAAATGGGTGGAGAGAAGGGCAGGGGTTCTGGATGGAGGAGAAAGACCCACAGTTGTGGCCTTGTTTCATTTCCCTAGAAAGTAGAGCCAGAGGCAAAAACATGTACGGTACAACTCCATGAACGCGTGCCACCCCAAGGAGTCAAGGGTAAGGGAACTGAGAGAAAATGCAGGGAAGAAACGAGAGCCATAAGAGAGCCTAACCTAGCTGCTCCTTGCTTGTTGTCAAGGAACAGCTGCATGTGACTCACTGCCTCTCAGGACAGCCCTCCCATGGGGAGGAGAGAGAGACTCTAGCTATTCCCATCTTTCGTTGGTCAAAGTTTTGCACAGGAAGAGTAACCCCTGTCTTCTAACTGCACACATCCTTTAGACACTCTGGTCCCTTCATATTCAGGGGAGAGTTCAGAGCATCACCAGACTGAATATTTATGCTAGGAGTCATGTTCAAGTTCTTGGGACATTAGTCATGCAGAGCTGGTCAGCACAGGAATGGCTGAAATGGAAAAGATGGCCAAAGATTTTAAAGATGTGAGGAGAAGTGAATCTGAGGAGTATGGCTGATGCAAACTGCTGTCTAAAGATCTGTTAGAAGCTGCTTTCCAGTCATTGATGATGATATAGACAGGGGATTTGGCATCTGCAGTCTACTGCTTATGGTTGTCCCAATATTCATTTGCTTCCTCTTAGTAACCATACCCCCAATTTTTCCTAGCTTCCCTTATAGGTAAGTGTGACTGCGTGACTTGGTTCAGATCATTGGGAGGTAAGTGGAACTGGTATGTGTGCTTTTAGTCAGTGCCCTTAAATGGAAGGGACATGCTCTTCTTTGTCCTTCCCTTCCTCTGGTGACCAGAATTCAGATGTGATGGATGGACAATTCAGCCATTTTGGACATGAGATGACTTTGGGAATGGAAGCTGCATGTGGCAAAGCAAAAATCATAAGGCCCTTGGGTTCTTGTCACTGTAAAGTCATCACTGAACTGTTTTCCTCCAGACATTTTACAACAGAGTGACCTAAACAATTGTCTTACTTAAGTCACAATATTTGGGTTTTTTTTGTTTCTCTGGTCAGACTATACTTTAATTGCTATAACATCCAAAACAGAAATGATATTAATAAAAGAGAAGTACATGTACCCATCTGTATCTACAAGGGGATACATCTATCTTCCTTGCCATCTCATAATACCACTGACAGGCATGCCTTGTGGTAACAGTAATAATTACTACCTACTGGGCCTCTACTCCAAGGTGCAATTTTACCCTTTGTCTACCTCATAGAATACATACAACATGTCTGTGAAGTACATGTCAGGCCCCAACCTTGTTCCATTCCAATCCATTCTCTAATTAGTAGCCTGATTGATTTCCTCTCACATAAATCTTTGCTTCTATTTAAAAGCTTTCCATGTGTTTTAGCTATCTAATGCTAACTAACAAATCACCCCAAACATAGTGGCTTAAAAAACAACCATAATTTCTGCTTCTCATGATCAGGCATCCAGGACAGTCTTGGCCTGGAGTTCTCTCCTGGAGTCCCCCTTGTGGTTGCAGCTGTAAGTTGGCTGGGGCTTCAGAGGGTTGGCCAGTCTGTTTTTAAGATGGTGCATTCTCATGTCAGGGAAACAGGTGGTGGCTGTAGCTGAGGTCTTAGTTCCTGTCATCATGGGTCTCTCTGCGGAGCTGTATTCCTGGGTTTCCCTCCTGGCTTCCCTGAGGCTCTATCAGTGTCCTTGGGGTCCAAGGATGTCCTCTCATAGCGGGAACAATCCAAGGCTTCACAAAGCTGAGTTGCCTTTGCCGCCCGAGCCTCGAAGTCATGCCACATTGCTTCCATCATGTTCTAGTGGCTGAGAAAGTTGCACACACTTGCCTGTGTAGGAGGGAAGAGAACATAGATCCTGCTTCTCCATGAAGTACAGCCACTATTCATCGAGGAATGGGGTACATGTTGGTGTGGTCATCCTTGGAAAACGAAGCCCATGGCTTTAGCCACATCATATGCCTCATGGACTACTCCATGCCTGAAGTCCATCTTGGTTAGCGTTGCTTTTGCCATTTCTGTCTTTGCTAAGCTGTGGAACCATTGTCACTGCATTTTCTGCAAAGGAATGTTGATTGTCAGTGACAACAGAATGAAAAGGAAATGGCTGGTGTTAAGTTTCCAACATATGATTTGGATTGCTCTTTCTGAGAAGATAGGTTCTGCTTGTGCCAGAAGAATCCTTGCACATCCCATCCAAAGACTCTTCATTCCACAACCTTGTTCTCATGTCAGGATAGGCTGTGACTTCCACTTCCCTAGCCTAGAGCATCTGATTGGTCATCCAGTGTTATAAAATATATGGAATCTGAACTAACCCTTTCATGGGAAGTTCTGCAGCACTTTCTCTGGGGCCCCAGCCCATAACCCAAGTCAGCCAAGGCACGGGCTTGGGTGGAAACATGGAGGTACCAGACTGATGCAATGCCAGCTACAGTGCAGAGAGCACCTCTGGGTTCCTATTGAGATGGGTGAATGGGTTTTAAAACCAAGTCTCAAGAGCATCTAGGCACAGGGATGTCTGTTTGATCAAAGGAAAGTTTCAATGCCAGGGAGAGAGAGGATGGGCTCTGAGGAGCAATCAGCTCTGCTCAGAAAGAAATAAGTCTGATGAAAGTCTTAGATGAGTAGTCTATGGTCCTTTCCTGGCTCCGGACTCATTGAGAGCCCCTGCTCCCAGCTCCTTGCTGCCCACTCTACAACCCTCCAACTCCCTGGGCCTCAGTCTCTCCAGGTATAAGCTTGAGAGTAGAAGCCTTGGTATGTTCCTTCAGCCCAGGGGCATCACATGGGAGGGGTAGTTGCAGAGGGCATGCTGTTCCTCTGATAGGTTATCCTGAGTACAAAGTGTGATTGTGACATATCACACAATGTGGCTAAATATAGGAGTGCACCATTCAGCTGCAGTGCAGTGTCTCTTCAGCGTTCCTCTGGGAGGAACAAGTGGCCACTGGAGGGAAAGGATGTAGCAGATGAGAGCAGGTACCCCCCCTCCCCCGCCAAGGACATGGAGCAGGCCAGAGAGGGAAAGGCCCATTAGGATAGGGCAACCTCCAGGGACTGGGTGACAGTCTGGGCTATGAACTGGACAGGCTGGAGTCTTGCTGTGAAGTCCACACATCCCTGACAGGAATGGAGAAAGGAGACAAATGTTACAGCACACATTGCATCTGCTGTGCTCAGGAGCCCAGCAAAGCTGAGTGGACCCCAAGGCTGCATTCAGATGTGCCTGTATGGAGGGGGCAGGAGGGTCCCTTGAAGTATTTTCATAAGACTCCAGAATGGGTTGTGGTGTTCTGGAACACATAGTGTGCCACAGCTGTTCATTCTTTCTGAGACAGAACACAGGGAACTGTATATTCTCCCCACCCTGTGTGGAGGTAAAAAGCTCAGATTCTCTGTAGAAGTAGGAGGACAAGGAGGCAGGCTCTCTGCCCCTCATCTATTCTTTTGCCTAACTCACTGGTCCACTCAGTGCCTCCAAAATGGAAGGATCAAAGAGTGGCCAGAAGCAACGACTGAATTAGAGAACTGGGATCCCCTGAATACCGTAGAGGCTCAGTGGAAAGTTTGTGGGTCCTGCTCCTCCCGCTCATTGGCCCCGTCCATCCCCAGGAGGGCAAAGATGCTGTCTGTTTGGCTTGTGCTCTACCCACAGGGCTTAGCACAAGGCTGAGCCAAGGAGGCACTCAGAAATAGTTGCTGAGAGAATGACTATGACGATCTTCCTGTGGTTTCTCTCACTCCGGCTAGTGGGCCCACAGGTCCCAATTGTCTTCTGCTCCTGAATCTCCCCGGTTCACTGCAGTTCACCCAACATATTTATTCCATTTCTAATTCATTATTGATTTCTAACCAACAGAGTTAGCCCTTCCCTTGCAGACTCAAGATAACCCACTAACAAGTCAAAATTTGCTCAAATCAAATATACGTATGACTTTTCTTGGAAACCTTTCCTCAACCCTCCCCGCTGCAAAACTCTTTATCAGGGAAATTTCCAAAATTACAAGAAACTAAAATGACTAGAATATTGGCACGCGCTCAGCTTCATGACCGGGTTATGAAGCTCATGACCCAGTTTCCACAATTATTAACATCTTTCAAATCTCATTTCATCTCTTCTCTGACCTTTTATCTTTGGAGAATGTTTTAATCTTCTAACTTTCTGAGTTCAAAGAAAAATCTTTCCCTCCCTTCAGGACCAAGCTACCAATAGGGTAGCTTCTTAGCGCTATAGGGACACACATGCTAGCTCCTTTATGTTCTGCCTCACGACACACAGTCCTGCTTCTGTGTTGGCAGCTGTTTGGATTATACAGTTTTTACTGCTGTTATTTAGGATGCAGTTTGACTCTGCATGGTGAGCTAGGGAGCCTGTGTTTTTTTCTCGTTTCCCTTTTCCCTTCTTAGGCTGAGAATCAGAGGTCCCCACCCCGTTCCCATCCCATCTGTGTTTCCTTTTCTCCAACCCTTCCATGCAGCATTCCCAGCAACTCTATATTATCTCACCACATGTCACCAGCCTGGGACACAGTCTAAAAGTAGACAGTAATAGTGAAGTAGTCTAGGTTCGCACTGCTATTACTCTATAAGATCATAATGTACAAAGACAGACCAACTCTCTGTCAAAAGCTCTCCATTTCCTCTTGTCTGGAGGGACAGAACACGTCTGGGCACAGAGAATTTTCCTGGGAGCAGCTAGTAGATCTGTGTATAAGGCCTTCTTTATATATATGAAATTGACAATTCTTCCTTGTGTCAGAAGTTTAAATTGTGTAATATATAACTTTGTAATATATATATATATATCTTAATTCAAACATTGTGGGGGTATACTGATACACAAGGTCAGTCATGGAATGCTTTGTTTTGACAGAGGACAAAGATTGATTGCTTCCTCATCTGCATACTGAAAGTAACTGTTACACTATTTTGGGGTTCCTTGTGTGTCCTTCCCTATTGATCATCAGGTACAGGAGCAGATCAGTAAGGGCACAGGGAGTTTGATACTTCACCTTCTTAAATGAGAACTGCATCATCTCAACAGTCAGCTCTCAGCCCGGATGGCACCCCATGTTATGTGAATTTCTCATTAAAAAAAAGGGTTCATGTAAGAGTGAGAAAATGATTAGGAAAGTTAAAGAGCTGATCCTAGGAAACTTTCATTCACTAGAGACCACATTAAAACAGAACATTGAAATTTTGAAGGAACTTCTCCAAACTGTAAGCACATCAGTCTGTTGGGTTTGAGCATTCGTTTTCTCTTAATTACCCAGCCCAACTCAAGTCAGGGAATATTGTTGAGTCTTATCCTGTTTGTCCCTAGTGCTTCCCAAACGTTCCAAATCCCCCTAACTGTGAACAGTAGTAGACACAGAACCAGTTGTCAAGGCCAGAGAATACAAAGGCACCCGGTGGGTCAACGGACACTGTCCTCATCTTGGTCCCCTCATTAACGAACCCCCCATCAGGTCCTTTCAGTTTCCCTTTCCTCATTTTCCCCTCACTCTCTCTCTTCCCACTTACTGAATAGAAGATTCTGTGGAGACCCCCATCCAGGCCCAGACCTCAGCCCTCTCCTCTTTCCCCTTCTCCTGGGCTTCATCTTTTTTTTTTCCCTAAAGATTTATTGTATTTATATAAGAGCTGGGGTACAGGCCAGATGCGCGGGATGGTGAGGGGATTCACCAGAGACAGAGCAGGGAACAGAACAGGCAGACTGACAAAATACATTGCTGAGGGGAGCAGTGGGCGAGACAGGAGAGGTCTGCTTGCCATGTGGGTTGCTCTGAGGCCGGTGGGGATCGATAAAGCACTGCAGAGGCTGCAGACAGCTTCACAGCGCTGCACCCAACCCCCTGCGCCACCAGGGAGGCCCTCCTGGGCTTCATCTTCTGCACTACACATTTAGTGCCCAGGTCCTTAGGACAGTCACTAACCACAGCATTCATGTATATCAGAAATCTGATCAAAAACAACAGAAATCTCTCTAGCAAAAGTATCTGACACATAGCTAGTGTTTAAAATACTTTTATCAAGGGCCTCCCTGGTGGTGCAGCAGTTGAGCACTGGGTTGCGAAGCTGCCCGCATCCTCTGCAGCGCCAGTTCGATCCCCGGCTGCTCCCCGGCCACCGGAGGAGGGTCCCACATGGCGCGCAGACCTCTCCTGCCGCCCGCTGCTCCCCTCAGCAGTGTACTTCGGTCCTTCTGCCTGCTCTGCTCCCCGCTCTGGCTCTGGTGAATTCTCTCACCCTCCCGCGCTTCTGACTGTACCCAGTGCTTGTATGTATAAATAAATAAATAAAATCTTTAAAAATAAAATAAAATAAAATACTTTTATCAAACCAAAGAAGTCAGTCAGGCCTGTGAAACTTGAAGAGCCACTTACATATCTCCCTTTGGACTCCCCCATTTGTCTTGCCATTTTCTCCATCTTCCTTTTTTTTTTTTTAAAGATTTATTTATTTATGCATACAAGAACTGGGGTACAGTCTAGAGGTGTGGAGGGGTGAGAGGATTCACCAGAGCCAGAGTGGGGAACAGAACAAGCAGACTGACTGAAATACCTGCTGAGGGGAGCAGTGGGTGAGACAGGAGAGGTCGGCTGCACCATGTGGGCAGCAACCTGGCCAGGAATCGAACTTGTGCTGCAGCGGCTGCAGATAGCTTCACAGTGCTGTTCTTAACCCCTTGCAACACCAGGGAGACCCTCCATCTTCCTTTATGCCTTTGCTCAGATCTCTTGGCAGGCATTCTTTGTTGGTGTCACTAATAGTGGTGTACTTCAGGATTCATTCACTGTTTAGCGTGTCATCATCTGCTTCAGCTCTATGGGAGAAGAAAGAGCTTCGAAAGAGTGGTACCCTTCCCCATATACATTGGACAATGCCTTTGCTGCATCCTCATCCAGCTTTTGGTCTCCATCTTTCCAATATGGGATAGTGTGGCTGGACCTTACCTGACCACCTGGTGGGGTCCTCCTGGGAGACAGATGGAGAAGTTCCTTCAAAAGTTCAATGTTCTGTCTTAATGTGCTCTCTAGTGAATGAAATTTTCCTAGGTTCAACTCTTTAACTTTCCTAATCATTTTCTCACTCTTACATGAACCTGTTTTTACTGAATGAGAAAAAAAAAAAAAAAAAAAAAAACCTGTGTGCAATTTTCCCCCTTTCTCTAGTTAGGTTTTATAAAAAATGGTGTCATTTTCTGAGTTCTTCAGCATTTGTAACTTACACTGTAGAAAACTTCATTTTGGAATTAAAAATCATATGTCAACTAATTTTTTTAGCTTAATGACGGCTTACATTAAAAAAAAGCTTCATATTCCTGTCATCACGAGGCTGTTCACTCCCCACTACTCTCCTAAGCTGGCTCATCAGTCGTTGAGAAAACCTCTCAGCAACTTCTCCCCAGAGTAAGTGCCTCCAAACCAGAGTGAAACCCTTAATTTAATTAACACCACTACAGTTTCCCAACAGGGGTAAATGAGATCAACTAAATTTACACCACGAACATGAAAATTCATTTTTCTTAATTGAAAAAAGGAGCGGGTCTTGTTAAAAGCAGTAATTTAACAGTTGTCATAAAAAGAACACATCATGGAAAACACTGAATCAGTGGGAAGTCAGGAGGTTGGGAGGTCATGTGTACTGGATAGATTTCAAAGTACCCCTAGAAACCCTGTCTGCAATCACTCAGAAAAGAACCTAGATATTCCTTAAGAAATGAAAAGTGATAGAGTCTGAAAAGGGGTAATTACATCACTATCAGAAATTAGCTTTGATATTGGTCATTTACATGTAGATAAAGAATCCCCGGAGCTTGTCTTTCAGCTTGACTTTTACTCAATGTGTTATTTAAATCATGATGAGAAGATACTCAGCACCTTACTTTTCCAGAACTAGATTTTGGGAGGCTAGGTGGACTAGGATCTAAAATTTATGAGAAGTTTAAAGTAAAATGTAGACCTAGAGAGGAAATTTCCTTCTACTTCTCTGGATTCTTACTGGGCAGTTGGATTAATCAAATTAACATCAGAGAGAGAAGTAGGAGAAAAGAACAAATTTAATTATGTACTTATGGAGAATCCGCATGGATTTAGAGTCAAAGTAAAAGGGGGGAAATGAGGGTATTTATATCCTAAGTTAAGGAATGGGATAAGGGGCTGGGGCTTCAAGGACACAGGTTGGGGACTCACATGAGAGAGTGACTCATATGACAAAGGCCAGATGCTCTGTAATTAGATGTTTGCCCTTCCATATAGATAGGATTCTCAATAGAAAGGTTATTTCTGGTAAAAATCCTAATTCAGGGTAATGCCACCAATTTTCATTCTTCTAGGTAATTATGGGAGTGGTGATTTTTTTTTCATGAACCTGCAGGACCTTGATTGACCTCAGCTTTGAAATAATCCACATACCAAAGTGACACATCTTGGAAGAGCTATAATGGACATCATGGGGAGGCCTATCTGAAAAATCTGAACATCTTGAAGACCTAGCCTTCAAAAATGTAAACTAAGATGCTTAAAACACAATTAATCATGTCTGGATATGATTAGGGGTAAATGTAAATGGATAAATGCCGACCAAAATGTGCTGATTCATGCGAAGGCTGAAAGGAGACTTGCAGGTAAAATAAGGGAGACTTCATAAACCATCCTACACTGGGAAATAGGCCAACTACACTGTGTTATCTTGGGAGAAAATGCCCCAGCATGATTCTAGAATTCATTTAAAAGAAAACTACTCTAGGAAAGAAGATACAGGCATTTCGTTCTGTTTCCCTGTTAGACTCAGGAAACCACAAGCATTTTGATGATCCCACTTTTCAAAAGATATGGCAAAACTTAAGAATCCAGAAAGAGATACACAAATGAAAAGATAAAATGCATATTGGAAAAAGCAGTCCCGTGAGGAGACATTAGAGATTTAAGGCTACTTAACTTAAAGAAAAAAGACCAAGTGCTGAAATAGTCTTGTTTTCAAACATATGGCAGGTTTTTGGCGGGGAAATGCTGATCATGTGTTTCGAGTAAATGGAGGCCAAGACAAAAACTATAGATGGAAATAAGGACAATAAATAAATCTTCAATGGGGCCTCCCTGGTGGCGCAAGGGGTTAAGACACAACCTATGAAGCTATCTGCAGGGTCTGCAGCACAAGTTCGATCCCCAGCCTGGGAGCTACCCACATAGTGCACAGACCTCTCCTGACTCGCCCACCGCTCCCCTCAGCAGTGTATTTCAGTCAATCTGCCTGTTCTGTTCCCCACTCTGTCTCTGGTGAATCCTGTCACCCACCCAATCTCTGGCCTGTACCCCAGTTCCTATATGCATAAATAATAAATAAATCTTTAAAAAATAGAAAAGAAAAAAAATCTTCAATGGCTTTCCACTGCTTGCAGACCAAGGTAAGTTCCAAGGTAAGTTCCAAGATAAGACCAAGGTTAGTTTGCAGTGTATGCGAGGCCACGTCTCTTGTCACTCCCCCATTCAGCTGCAAACCATGGTAGGTGCCCCCTCTGCTCAGGCTTGCCCCCACGTCTCCTTGCAACAGCTCTGAGCCTTCTCTGGGGGGTACCTGCTCATGTGTCTGGCTTCCATACACCACCAGGAGCTCTCAGCATAGCACTGGACCAGAGTTTGAACCCAATTAAAAGTTGTTAGCAATATCTCCTCCTTAAAAGTTGTTAAATCAATAAAGAGTTTAAGAGGAAATACTGCTATACTAAGAACAAAGACCAGGAGAGAGACATCTAATAAGGAATTTTGGAGTAAGATGTTATACTCTATAATTTCTCTTCATCTCCCTTACATAGAATCTATTAAAATCTACAGTGCTGGGCCTCCCTGGTGGTGCAAGGGGTTAAGCACCACACTATGAAGCAATCCACAGCCTCTGCAGCACGAATTTGATCCCCTGCCAGCCAGGGAGCAACCCACATGGTGCAGCAGATCTCTCCTGTCTTGCTTGCTGCTCCCCTCAGCAGTGTACTTCGGTCAATCTGCCTGTTCTGTTCCCCACTCTGTCTCTGGTGAATCCTCTCACCGCCCCCATCTCTGGTCTGTACCCCAACTCTTGTACGCATAAATAAATAAATCTTTAAAAAAATAAAATAAAATAAAATTGAAAGGGCTTACAAATGTTTTGTGAAATAGATCTTCTCTTTGGGAATACAAGTCAGCGCATCATCCTGCCTCCAGGAGGATGTGGGGTGAAATCCTGTAGATATCCAGCTCCTGGGCCTGGAAAGCCATTCTGCCTTCTATGAGGAAATTGCACTGATCCTGCTGTTTATATCTAGGTTCTATCCCGCAATAGCAATTTTCCTGGTTCTCATTTTCCTGCTGTTCCTAAGTATCATGTAATTACTATATGTGTTATATAGTTATATGTAACTATATAGAATTTGTTCTATAGGTTATACAATAAGTTCTTGGGATCTTATATAAATAAACAACATGCCTATTCTGGAATAGCATCAATCCCATTACTCTATAACAATGACTGGCTGGCCATGTGGTAGCCCAACTGTGCCCATCTGAACAAAATTGTTATTTAGAATGTATTGTCCTAGGAGTCACACTGCTTCCTGGAATATAAAGATGGAGAGTCTCCTAAAGTGCTTCAGCATCTCCACTTGACCCGGGCGGCTTGCCTAGATCATCAGCCCCACAAGGAAGAAATGCTAGCAACTGACCCCTCTGCCTTTGGAAAACTCTTTCAGTAAATGCCGCTATTTTCCAAATTGCATTATGTGAGGCTGGAAGGGATCATGAGAAATCATCAAGTTGATGCTTCTCTGTCTGGGCAGGACAGAACCATCCCTGGCAGAATGCAGACCTGCTCCCTATTAAATCTCCACTTGTTCCTATTACATCTTTTTGTTTCCAAACCACGTTCCTCTTCAAAGCAAAACTTTGCTGTGTTTAAGATACACGAGAACACCAGTTTCCCACTGTGCCACTTACCTCTTGCCAAAATTATGCATATTAAGAATAAGCCCAATCTGGTTGGGGTTGCCAGTGATTGAAAAGTAAACAGGTTGTAATATGCTAATCCCTATGCTAATATTTGTTTCTGAAGACAGAGAGACCTGAAATGCTAATGTGAGAGCCCTTCCAGGAAAGAGGATTATGCGCTGAGAGGCTGGGGGAGGAGGAGAGAAGTGAGAAGCCCAGGGAGAGAGGCTGAGAAATTGTGTGAGGTAACCACAGGTCTTTTGGAAGCAGTGTTGTTTGTTTCTCTATATTTCCTTTTTCAAGGAAATTTCCTTTTTCAAGGTTTCTACAATGATTCCATTACAATTGTAAGCAGAAAAATAAAGTAAAATATGGAAAGAAGAAATCATGAGGAACCGAGAACAGAAGTGGAAGGGAGATGAGAGGAAGCAGAGGGAGTAGAGCTGACAGGTTGTGGGGGGGCAGCGTCCCAAAACGGGAAATGATGGGTGCAGGGAAATTCCATGGCCTGCAAATCCAAGGAACTTGCAGAGTCAGTTCTTAGGCAGTTGAGAGAACAGTGGTTCTGACCTGGGCTCAAACTTCTGGGTCTGTAAGAAAACAGAAAAAAATGTCTTCAAATCTAGCAGAAGAGGTAAATGTTAATCACAACTTGGAAACTGTAAAAACCATACTGAGTCCTTGTTTCTTTCTTCATTTCTTCAATGAAAAACATTAGCCAAGCATATATTAATTACACTCTGTGTACTCAGGGGCACTAAGAGAGTGTTCTCTCCTGGTCCCTTTGAAGGAGATGAATTAGGATGAATAAAACATCCTTTTCCTGTCTCAATTGTGGGAGGCTTTCTATGTGGACCTCTGGTAATGAACTTGCTGAGTGTAATCTGAGCTCCAGGCCTTCATGTACAGCAGGGAGTTCTGGTTCTCCCTGTGGTTGATTGAGTGCTCAGCTATGAGGGAGAGAGAAAGAGGCTATTGGGGATGCTTAGATGATTTGGAAGGGTGCTGGAGAAAAGCTTGGCTCTCACTTGGGAAATCTTAAGAAAGAAATAAAGTAGTGATAATGCAAAGTGTCTGGAATTGTGTGGGAGCCCCAGAGCAGGAGGTGCCTCTGGCCATGTTTCAGCCAACATCTTCATCAAATCCTTCCAGCCTGTGATTCCAAAAGTGGGAGATTCAAACTTCTGCTTAAAGGGCCTCCCTGGTGGTGCAAGGGGTTAAGCACAGCACTGTGAAGCTGCCTGCTGCCTCTGCAGCATGAGTTTGATCCCTGGCCAGGGAGCTACCCACATGGCACAGCAGACCTCTCCTGTCTCACTGCTCCCCTCATCAGGTATTTCAGTCAGTCTGCCTGTTTGTTCTGTCCCCACTCTGTCTCTGGTGAATCCTCTCACCCCCTGCATCTCTGGCCTGTACCCCTGTTCTTATATGCATAAATAAATAAATCTTAAAAAAAAAAGTGATTAGTTTCTTTTCTAGATCACCCATATTTCCCCCCCTAACATTCTTGAAACCCTTTATTCTCAAAGATGTTAAGGGTTTCTTTAGCTAATTTTCTTTCTTTACCTTCCCCAGGAAGTCATACATAATTATTAGCATATGGCCCCCAGGTATACCACAGAGGCCAAAGATTCCAGCCTGTGACTTATGAATGCCGTCACCAAAACCAGTAGAGATTAATGAAATAATCCCAATCAAAGAAAGCCATTTTAAGGTGTACTTTGCTGATGTCTCAGCATTTGGTTTCCAAGTTCCTGGCCTCATTTGGTATGAACAAAGCATATTAAGATTAATGGCATTTATTTATATCAGTGTGTGGACAAGGGGTTGCAAATGCTGGAAGACCTCTGAACTTCTACTAGTTGAGTTGAGATTAGAATCCTAATTTCTACTCTGGAAATTGGGTCTAACACCAATAAGATAAAGTCTCCCAATAAATGTAAATCATGTGTCTTGTGTACTTGTGGGTCCAGGTGATCCATAGTCAGGGTTATTTTCCCAGAAAATTTTCCAAGATGACTTTCAATAAAAGCAATGAAATGTTTCTTGGTTGTAGGAAAAGAGGGAGTTTGTTGTGCGTGTCTTTTGAATTAGTTATAGATGAAGACATTTTCCTTTTTTTTTCCTGTCATAAACTTACTTCTTCAATGAAAGGAGTCCAACATAAAAATTCAGGAGACAGTTTTCTGCAGTCACTAGAATTGTTTCTTCTCTACTTTCTGTATTATTGATAAAAGATTACTTGATACAAGAGTTACTACAAAGCTGAGAAATTTCTCCTTAAAGCATTTCAGCCTAACAAGTTCTCTTATTGACATACAAAAATAATACCAAATAAGGTGTAATAGTAGACAAAACAAGTGTGGAACAATGCATGTGTTAATGTGTGTCCCCCCTGTTCATGAAGATTTGTATGATTTCATCCTTCTCTCTGTCAACAATAAGCGATGGGTCCTTCAAAAATCCCGTGACCTTCTCCAGCCCTCACCTTGCTTGTCTGTAAAAACAGGGCAGAACTAGGTAGGTGTCCGGTCCCTGGTCTAAGTTCCTCAATCGAAGATTGTGTACCCAAGCAGGACCACTCTGGAGTAATAGAAAAGCCACTCCATTTCTGCCTCTGAGGTGCTTCTCAGCATCAGAATTTAATGTAT